TTTCTCAAGTCACTCCTGACACAACAACAAAAAACGGGGGGTTAACCCACTGTGCCACTGGGGGCTCCTGAGAGGTGATTAGCTGACCCTGAATGTTTCTTGTCTGGAATCCCCCTGTTTTTTAGTGTTGTTCTTTATTTATTGTTTTTATTCTAGTGTTTTTTAATACTGGTAGTCAGGTTTTGTTCACTGTCGTAGTTTGCTCCTTTCTGTTGAAATTGTCCACATGCTTGTGGATTTCAATCGCTTCTCTGTGTAGTTGGACATGGTGGTTGTTCGAGTGGTCCAGCATTTCTGTGTTCCCAAATAATATCCTATGTCCAGGTGCTCTGCTATGGCTGACTTTTTTGGTTGAAGTAGTCTGCTGTGCCATTCATGTTCCTTGATTCGTGTTTGGGCAATGCTGTGTTTGGTCATCCCTATGTATTTGGCCTGGTCTATCTTCTCATGCCAAGGACTGAGGGCCAAAGTACAGCAGCAGACTTGGGAATCTGAAGTCAAAGTGTGGTGAAACCACCAATGGCAGGCTGGTGAAACCACCAATGACAACAGATTGGGGGAAGTGGCATTGGCAACATTTCCTCCTGAGCCTGCTGCCTTTTTCTCTCCCTGAAGGACAGATAGCTTCTCCTTAGACCCACAAAGCAGCTTGATGTCCTCATGCATGTTGTTGATACTTGATATTACTGCACAAAGCCACTATCCAGTGGCATTCCCATGACATTGGATAATGGCACTATCACTGTTCTCATCACACTGCTGTTAATGTTGCACAACTGTGACACTTCAGCAAAGTGAGGTTGCATTTCTGAATGGATGGTATAACTCTCCCTTCCCACTGTACCTCTCTCCATCCCCTTCGATTTGTTGTTTTTAAGACTTATGTTAATAAAATAACTAAAATAATTTTTCAGCATGCCATCACAGAAGAACCCAGATCTTTTCACACCAGATAAGTAAGTCCCCGGTCCATGATGTGATCAACGGATGGCTTTATTGCAAGAAGGTGATGGATATATGATGGGTATTGCATGATATTGTGCTGGTTTTCAGCAATGCAATAAAGTCCACTTTTCCAGTGCCAACAATTTGCTTTTTCAGGGAATACAGCAATTATAGAATGGGGAGTGGGGTTATCCTTTTGCTGCAGGGAGTAGATGGGCCAGTCCTTAGAATCATATAATCATAATCATAGAGTTGGAAGAAACCTTGTGGGCCATCCAGTCCAACCCCCTGCCAAGAAGCAGGAAAATCGCATTCAAAACACTCCCGACAGATGGCCATCCAGCCTCTGTTTAAAAGCCTCCAAAGAAGGAGCCTCCACCACACTCCGGGGCAGAAAGTTCCACTGATGAACAGCTCTCACAGTCAGGAAGTTCTTCCTAATGTTCAGATGGAATCTCCTTTCTTGTACTTTGAAGCCATTGTTCCACATCCTAGTCTCCAGGGAAGCAGAAAACAAGCTTGCTCCCTCCTCCCTATGACTTCCTCTCACATATTTATACATGGCCATCATGTCTCCTCTCAGCCTTCTCTTCTTCAGGCTAAACATGCCCAGCTCTTTAAGTTGCTCTTTCATGTAGATGCTTAACCTTATTTCAGGATGGATATATAATACTACTGTGTATTCTGCCATATAAGACTACTTTTTAACCCAATAAAATCTTCTCAAAAATCAGGGGTCGTCTTATACGGCAGGAGTCGTCTTATAGAACGGGTACTGAATCTGTGGTTGCTGCATATGGTGGGGAGAGCTCAAAAATGGCAGTTGCTGCGTCCCTGCCATATGCAGGGACTATATGAAAGCATTACGGGCAACGCTGTACAAGTACGGTAAAAGAAAATCCATTTATCAGGATTTGTGGACTTAATGTGATGCTGATGGTGAGGTGAAGGGGCGCTTCACTGGGAAGGTGTAAGTGAAGGGTGGAGCAAGCTGCAGGCGCCCGGGGTATGGAAAAAAGAGATAGAGTGGCTCTGGGCCCAGAAAAACACACCTCTTTTACCTGTCTGGCCCGCCCTTGTATCCTATTACCGTACCTCCTCCTCTGCCTCTCAGATCTCGCTCCTGAAGACTGCAGTGAAGTGGTGCAGGTGCGCAGGTGCGAGATCTGAGAGGCAGAGAAGGAGGTACAGTAATAGGAAAATTACCATATTGAAATCAAATCTGATGCTTTTAAAATTTATTTGGTGTGTGTTGGAAGAGGGGTAGTCTTATACGGCGAGTATACCCCAAACTCTACATTTTAACTGGAAAAGTTGGGGATCTTCTTATACACGCAGTTGTCTTACATGCCAGAAAATATGAGGTAAATGTTTCCTTTTTCAAAGATTGCCTCCTTATAGATTTGAAGAGGGAGGGATACTTGACTAGTATACTACATCCCCACGATCCTTTGGTAAAATTCAGAGGTCTTAATGGCTGGGGAATTCTGGGACTTGAGATGCTAGAGCTGCACTTAAAGTAAATTGGGTAATCACCATACATCTCTTGGATCCTCTCTTTCCAACTTAGGATGCATCTACACTGTAGTTTGACATCACTTTAAATGCTATGGGATTCTAGGAGGTGTTGTTTGGTATGGCACCAGCATTCTTTTGTTGAGAAGGATAAAGACTTTGCAAAACTATCCATAGTATTTAGTTATGGCAGTTAGTGGTGCAAAACTGTAGTAATTCTACAGTGTTAATGCACCATCCATTCTTTTTTTCATTATTTTACCATTCTATAACACTCTTCAGTTTTCTCTTATCCCACTTGGACCCATTTACTATTGCCACTTTTTTCCGAGGATAAGCCATCTTCAGACTCCATGTCTCTACACTTTATTTTTCGCTGTTGCTTTTCTGGCAGTTTTTGTTGCTGTTGTTATTATTTCAGATTCTGTGCAGCTGTCCCAGAAATATGTGATTTCAACAGCACTTTCTAAAAAGTAAATTATTCCTACGTGTTCAGCATATCATTTACCATAATATGCCAAACACAACTGGGGCATTAATGTTTATTAGTAATTTACAGAAGACTTGTAAAGCGCATGTATTAATATGATACAGACAAATTGCTGTGGTTAACTGCTGTCATTCTTAACTACTTTATCACCATGAGTTTACCGTAATTAGAAATAATTAAAAAAAATAAATTCCTGCAATTGGAAGCCAGGTCTATACTTTAAATCCTAATAAAATGTTGTATGTGTGGTTATAAACTTTGATTTGCTTAATAAAGAGTAATGCTTGACCCCTCCACATATTATCCTCTTGAACAAAAATGTGTGTTTATATCACTCAACTAGAGATTCAAATTAAGCTGAAACACTATTAACCGCAGGGCTCAATATCCTATTACAACAGGACTGGACAAAATTCTAGGGCTGGGGACTGAACTGGATTCCCTGAAATTGTTTTGAACTGTGCTAGCCCTGGATTTTCTGATGCCATCAAACACTACAACAGCATACCATGACACCAGAGGATGTTAGTCATTCACAATGTGTGACCATATTGTAGTGTACAACACCTGTGCCTCAGCTTTGCAATAGACAAGATGCAAGATTAACCCAACTTTGCATCAGTCTCCACACTGGCAGTCCACCTGCCTTTCTGTGCTACAGAAACTTGGGTTGGTGTCACTTGGATCTTGGGTTCACACGGTAATAGGATACAAGGGCGGGCCAGACAAGTAAAAGAGGTGTGTTTTTCTGGGCCCAGAGCCACCCTATCTCTTTTTTCCATACACCGGGTGCCCCGGATGCCTGCACCTTGCTCCGCCCTTCACTTACACCTTCCTGGTGAGGCGTCCCTTCACCTCACCATTGGGACCGCATTAAGTCCACGAATCATGATGAATGAATTTTCTTCTACTGTACTTGTACAGCGTCACCCTTAATGCTTTCATACAGTCACTGCATACGGGAGGGACGCGGCCACTGCCATTTTTGAGCTCCCCCCACGATATGCAGCAACCACAGATTCTCCAATCTGAACTGGAAGTTTCAGAACCTGCTCTATAAGATGACTCCTGGCGTATAAGACTACTCCCACATCTAAGACTACTCCCATGCATAAGGCTACTTCTGCGTATAAGATGACTCCCGTGTATAAGACGACCCCTGACTTTTGAGAAGATTTTCTTGGGTTAAATAGTAGTCTTATACACCAGAATATATGGTATTTCGCATTAGGGTGAAAGATATAGAAAAAGGCATTTTAGAGTTTCCTTGTGAGTTTCCTTTTTGTATTGTGTGCTCTGTTGCTTTCTGACTTATGAGACAGATGGCTGTGGCTTGGCTTCGTTTCTCCCCATACATCACTTTCTCAATGCCCGTGTCAGGTAGCCCATGATAGCAAAGCCCCTTTCCCCTCTAAATAGTCAATTGGCACTAATAAAGGTTTCTCTTCATTTAATGTGGATTTTTGTTGATGATCCCAAATTCCACCTTCTGAGCCAGCTAACATGAAGTGTGGTTGTGAGGGTGAATATGACAAAGGAGAATTGTTTTATAAAGGGAGGGAAACACAGCCAAAAAAAGTGAAGGACCACGGCTAAGATCCAAGTGGGGTCTTGCCCCGAAACTCAAACCAGAGCTGGAAGCGACAGAGTTGATCTGCAGAAAAGAGAGTGACTTCAGCTGTATGGAAACTGTTCTTAAAAAGCCTTGCAGCTCTCCTAGAGTAGGAAAAACAATGCATTTGCTTCGTGGTAGCATTGTCCTGGGTCAACAGCAAAGATCCTTATTATCTTACCTTGGCAGGTGTGTTTGTCTTCTGACAGAACCAGACCCCGTGGGCACTCACATTGATAGGTGTCGCCCACAGTAGTGCAAGTATGGCTGCAGCCCCCATTGTTATTGTGACAGCCTTCGTTCTCTAAGGGAGAAATAACAACCAGACACATTAAAAATCAGCCCATTGTTCACATTGTTCTGGTCTTCCATTCTTACAGTCTCCAAAGTCTCCCAAAATATGCCATTTTCAATCAACTTTTCAGTCACCTAGTTTACCCCAGTCTCCAAAACACCACAATAAATGTGGCAGTTAAGGACTATTTAACTGGTACTGCTTAACTTCTTGTACCAGAAGATCCACAATTGGGTCACACCGTTTACAGAAAGCCCATACACAGAGATAGATATCTACATAAAAACTCCAACCATTACCCCAGTCAAAAAAGAAGCACCATTAAAGCCTTGGCAGACCGTGCAAAAAGAATCTGTGAACCCCACCTCCTCCAAGATGAACTGAACCACCTCAACTGGGCTCTACAGGCCAATGGATACTCCACCTCAGACATCAGAAGAGCTGCAAGACCAAGAACAAGCCACGAGAGTAAAGACAAAGATCCACCCAGAGGAAAAGTGTTCTTGCCATACATCAAGGGAACCACTGACCGCATAGGGAAGCTGATGAGGAAACACAACATACAAACTATCTACAGACCCACCAAGAAAATCCAACAAATGCTACATTCAGCAAAGGACAAGAGGGATCCTCTCACTTCTGCAGGAGTCTACCGTATGCCATGCAGCTGTGGACAAGTCTACATAGGGACCACCAAACACATTGCCCAAACCAACAACCACACCCAACCCTAAAAACAGATACCCACCATGCCAACTACAGTCCCACCAAACGCAGCAATGCCCAGACACGCATCAAGGAACATGAAAGGCACTGCAGACTACTTCAACCAGAGAAGTCCGCCATAGCAGAGCACCTGATGAACCAGCCTGGACACAGCATATTATTTGAGAACACAGAAATGCTGGACCACTCCAACAACCACCATGTCAGACTACACAGAGAAGCCATTGAAATCCACAAGCATGTGGACAATTTCAACAGAAAGGAGGAAACATGAAAATGAACAAAATCTGGCTACCAGTATTAAAAAACTCTAAAGTTACAACAGCAAAACAACAGAGAGGAAACAAACTAGGACATCTAATCACCTCTCAACAAAACTTTGCTCTAGGCACTGTCAGGCCATTATATGCTAATCAAGGTCATCAGCTGAAACATTCACACCTAGCTCCAGCAGACAAGAGTCCTTTGTCTCACCTTGGTCATTCCACAGATATATAAACCCATTTTCCTAGTTCCAACAGACCTCACTACCTCTGTGGATGCTTGCCATAGATGCAGGCGAAACGTCAGGAGAGAATGATTCTAGAAAATGGCCATATAGCCCGAAAAACCCTACAACAACCCATTGTTATTGTTGTTGTGTGCTTTCAAGTCATTTCAGACTTAGGTTGACCCTGAGGGAGGGCCGGGTAAATGACCTTGGAGGGCCGTATCTGGCCCACGGGCCCTAGTTTGAGGACCTCTGATCTAGATGTACGCAACACCAATTTCTTGATCCAACAACCATATGCAGCAAACCAATGGAGGGTTGATAAACTTCCTGGATTTGCTCTCTGCTTCATACAAAATAGATAAGAAATTGTCAAAATACTTGACCATTGCTTTTCTTTGTTCACAGCCTCTGTGAACAGCTAGCGATCATTTGTGTAGGATGTGTTTCAAACCTGTTGGGCACTATCTTAGGCTGTGGATGGCTACAGGCAGTGAATCTCAGTACTGTATTCAATGGTTGTATTGATTAGAATCTACATGTCAGTTGAAAAGTAGATGTTTTTCACACATATTCCAAGCAACCCATATGTCTTCTCACTCACCTTCACAGGTTTTTCCATCTTTGCCCAGGACACGTCCAACACCACATTCACAACGGTAGGAGTTCTTCATGTTTATGCAGAACTCGCTGCAGCCTCCATTGTTCCTTTCGCATTCATTTTCATCTGCAGCAAAATTGATCACAAGTTCACCATTTAGCAACATGTAGTTGGCAACTAGCACCTGCTATACATAGGTTTCCATTGTTTCTTTCCCATTCATTTTCATCTGTAGGAAATGGGTCGCAAATTTCCCAGTTAGCAACTTGCCGTTGGCAACTTGCACCTACATTACATAAGCGAATGGCTCCATTCATGCAGCTGGAATCAAGAATTAATTTCTCTTTAGGTGGCATTGGCTAGCAAGAGTCTGTTTTCTGTTGGACATTATCAAAGAACAGCTGTGGTTTTGGCTGCAAGTAGACTCCAGATATAAATATGTTACAGTAACTCGTAACAGAGTCAAGTATGTGTGTGTGTGTGTTAAAGAAAACCTTATTTATTTATTTGTTTGTTTGTTTATTTATAACATTTATATTCCGACCTTCTCACCCCAAAGGGGACTCAGGGCAGAGCACAGCATATTTATTTATTTATTTATTTACTTTGCTTATATACCGCTGTATCTCAAGCCCGAAGGCGACTCACGGCGGTTCACAAACAGTAAAAACAGTAGAAACAGCAGTGGTTCCATACAACATATAACAATTGACTTAACACATTATCCATAAATTACCAATAAGCAGTTACAATGCACAATTATTACAAAAAACAACAGTACCCAATCTTCTCATCATCCAAGCGTAGTCCAGGTTCGTCGTCCATTGTTCCATTCCTATGTTCCATTACCAGATTGCACTAAATTACTCAAACGCCTGCACAAACATCCAGGTCTTCACCTTTTTGCGGAATACCATTAGAGATGGTGCTAGTCTAATGTCCGTAGGAAGGGCGTTCCACAGCCGAGGAGCCACCACCGAGAAGGCCCTATCTCTCGTCCCCGCCAGCCGAGCTTGAGAAGCAGGCGGGATCGAGAGCAGGGTCTCCCCGGAAGATCTCAAACTCCTGGTGGGTTCATAGGCAGAGATGCGGTCAGATAGGTAGCTTGGGCCGGAACCGTTTAGGGCTTTAAAGGCCAACGCCAGCACTTTGAATTCAGCCCGGTAGCAGATCGGTAGCCAGTGGAGTTGGCGCAACAGGGGGGTTGTATGCTCCCTGCGCTCCGCTCCTGTTACACGGCAAACATTCAATGCCAGGACACAAATTCACATACTTATACATAAACATTTTAAAAAAATCAAAATATTAAAATATACCATTTTAAACCATCCTAATCATTTGCGTCAAATCTAATTGGCCCGGTCATCTTTCCTATTGCCGCTTTATTGCCCTGTCCCGAAAGCTTGGTCCCACAGCCAAGTTTTAACCATCCTTCTAAAGGACAGGAGAGAGGGGGCCGACCTGATCTCACCAGGAAGGGAGTTCCATAGCTGGGGAGCAATCACCGAGAAGGCCCTGTCCCGTCCCCACCAATCACGCCTGTGACAATGGTGGGGTGGAAAGCAGGGCCTCTCCAGAGGATCTGATTCTCTGCGATGGTATATAGATGCATTCAGACAGGTAATTTGAGCCAGAGATGTTTAGGGCTTTATAGGCCAAAGCCAGCACTTTGAATTGTACCTGGTAGCAAACTGGCAGCCAGTGGAGCTGGCAGAACATGGGAGTTGTATGCTCCCTGTATGCCGCCCCAGTTATTAACCTGGCTACCTCTTGTTGGACTATTTGAAGCTTCCGAGCAGTCTTCAAAGGCAACCCTATGTACAGTGCTTCATAGTAGTCTATTCTAAATGTAACGAGAGCATGGACCACCATGACCAAGTCTGACTTCCCAAGGTATGGGCACAGCTGGCACACAAGTTTTAATTGTGCGAACGCTCCCCTGGCCACCGCTGCAACCTGGGATTCCAGGCTCAGTGATGAATCCAGGAGAACTCCCAAGCTGCGAATTATTATGCTGTTAATTATTATGTGCAGCTGCTAATGTAGGTCAACTAGTAAGTTTGGACTACACCCGGTGGGGTATAACTACATGGATTTTAGAATATAGTTCAGCTTTTGCTCTGAGGAGCCTTTGCTCAGGCATTTTGTTCAGTCATTTCTACTGCTCTCCCATTTGGATGAAGACGAAGAAGCCTTATTCTGTATTATTTATAAAGATCATGTAAGTTTGTTGCACTGTTTGTAACATTTCAAGTTTATGTTTTAACTCTGTTGATAAAAGTTTTTTTTTTCCTCTTGTCTGGGTGCAATGTTATTGTGTCTTCTGCATTGGACTTGACTGAAATACGCTTAGCACAACAAAATACGCATGCACACTGGACCATTGTATTTGATGCAGTGTTCAGAAAGAGGACTGCTTCCCAGGTTGCCCAAGGCACCATAACCAATGTCTATAGGCTAGGGGAATCTGGGAACTAGAACCCAAAAAAGTTTCTCTGTGAGCAACATTAATGGTGCAGGTGAAGGTTTTATGACAGAGTATGCATCAAGACCTTTGGCTGCAGCTCTAAAGCTGCAAAAATATAATGGTGCTTGGATGACATTTTCTGCTTTGGAAATATTTGTTGGCTAAATAAAACTTGTCCAGCCCTAAACTCAATTAATATCGGCACTAAAATGGGACTGCCGGAATGATTAAAGCAACACAAATCGTACAGTTCTGGAAAATAAATCAAGAAAAAACATTTTCATGAATCATAGAATCATAGAGTTGGAAGAGACCTCATGGGCCATCCAGTCCAACTCCCTGCCAAGAAGCAGGAAAATCGCATTCAATTCCAAGGAAATTCCAAGGAAGCAGGAAAAAATGGCTACCCTACCACTACCACCATCTCGTATTCCTCCTCCTCCTCCTCCTCCTCATTTTATGATCACCACAAACCAGTGTGGAAAGTTGAATAGAGAGCCTGTGGCCGGCCTAAAATTGTATAGTTAACTGCATGGTTTAGCAGGACCTGGAATCTCCATTTTCCAAGTCTCACTCCAATACTTACCACTGCACCACACAGATCTCAGGGGAAGGACCCCAAATTAATGTTCTACCTCAGGCATTATCTTTAAAAGTTTATATGTGGAGCTCATCCATTTTTTCAAGGATATCTTAATGCTCCTTATCTTTGCTATCCCTGTTTCTGAGCTTTTTGTAGTAAAGTGTATTTGCCAGACTGGTGGGCAGATAGTGGGCAGTAGGTTGTAATAGGTAAAAGAGTCCCCTGACATTAAGTCTGATCGAGTCTGACTCTGGGGTGGTGGTGCTCATCTCCATTTCTAAGCTGAAGAGCCAGAGCTGTCTGTAGACACCTCCAAGGTCATGTGGCTGGCATGATTGCATGGAGCACCGTTACCTTCCCGCAGGAGTGGTACCTATTGATCTACTCACATTTGCATGTTTTTGAACTGCTAGGTTGGCAGAAGCTGGGGCTAACAGCAGAAGCTCACCCCGCTCTCCGGATTTGAACTGCCAGCCTTTCAGTCAGCAAGTTCAGCAGCTTAGCAGTTTAACCTGCTGCGCCACCAGGGGCCCCTAATAGGTTGTAATAGTAGGCAGAGGCGGCCCTAGATAATTTTTAATGGTAAGCAAACAGTATTTTGGTGCCCCCCCCCCAACCAATCATTGATATATATTTTCTGTTCGTCGTGGGAGTTCTGTGTGCCATATTGGTTCAATTCCATCATTGGTGGAGTTCAGAATGCTCTTTGATTGTAGGTGAACTATACATCCCAGTAACTACAACTCGCATATGTCAAGGTCTATTTTCCCCCAAGAGCGCCTCAAGAGCGCCCCTGGGCAAAATCAACTATACTGCAAAGGCTTACTTTGCGTAATGGGTTGAGCCGCCCCTGATAGTAGGTCTAAATCCAGTTGTTATTCCAATTAGGACAAGCCCGTTGAACATGTATTGAATCAATGGGTTCTCTCAAATTGGGGCCAGCAAGTGGATTTAGACCACTGTGTTGATTTTTACTAAGGGTGCATCTACACCAGGGGTACACAAACTTTTTAAACATAGGGCCAGGTCACAGTCCCTCAAACTGTTGGAGGGCCAGATTATAATTTGAAAAAAAAATGAATAAATTCCTGTGCACACTGCACATATCTTATTTGTAGTGCAAAAAACCACTTAAAAACAATACAATAATTAAAATGAAGAACAATTTTAACAAATATAAACTTATTAGTATTTCAAAAGTGTGGGCCTGCTTTTGGCTGATGAGATAGGATTGTTGCTGCTGCTGCTGCTGTTGTGTTCTTTCAAGTCATTTCAGACAGGTTTACCCGGAGTGAGGGCCGGGTAAATGACCTTGGAGGGCCATATCTGGCCCTCAGGCCTTAGTTTGAGGACGCCTGATCTACACTATAGAATTAATGCAGCTTGATACCACTTTGACTGTCATGGGTCAATGCTATGGAATCATGGGAGTTGTAATTTTACAATGTCTTTAAGCTTCTCTTTAAGCCAAAAAGTGTTGGTGCACCACCAAACTCCGATTCCCATGAATCCATAGCATTGAGCCATGGCCGTTAAAATTTGATATAATTTTAATTCTATAGTGTAGATGCACCCTAATATAGAGTGTGTCCTCCCACGCCCATTTACCCTGGAGTAAGTTCATAAAAATAAGTGTGACTTAATTTTTTAGAATTATAAATAGGTTGCATTGCGAGTTAATTAAGGACTGAAGCTTTAATTCACACCTCCTAAAATCCTTATTGTAAAAAAATTAGGAAATCATATTATTTTACCAGGGGCAATTTTAATGGGCCAGGTAGTGCAAATCCTAATTTTATAAGCCACCATTAACTTGAAGCTCACTGCAGCGATGTAAAAAACGGAGAAATAACCACTTAGAATTACGATTCATAACATATAGCCAGCCAACTGCAGGCTGAATGAAAAGCTACTCCAGTTAACATGATTGATGAAAGACCTCCCAGATGCTGGTGCATTTAGTGTTGCTGTAGAACTGCTAGTTTCCAGCTGGACTAGATTGTCCGGGATCTTCAATTACGGAACAGGGAGCGTGCAAAGAACGCTTGGCATAGGGAGAAAGGGGAAGACAAGTGT